ATCCGATCTACATCAAGACTCACCAGCAGCCAGCAGACTTTCTCACCAAGAGGCTTGCGGATGAGCCTCATTGGCGTTGTGTGCGCATGAGTGGAATGAGCATGAACTAGCATGGAATGACGGGGATGCAGCCGGCAGGCTGAGGGGGAGTGTGTTGGGTGCAAATTTACATTGCACGACATCCTGCCGTCTGTTTGTACGAGTATGCGTGTGCGAATGCATTTGCGTGTGAATGGTGTGTTCGTGTGTTTGTTTGCTTTCGCATTTTTCGCTTGATGCATTTGCAGATACTCGCGCAATGTGCGCTTTGGCACAACATTGTATGCGTTATGAACAGTGCAAGCAGGAAGGACGAGCTCGCAAAGGAATCCAAGATGGAAGCTTTGCAGTTCGGTTGAGTTGATTGCGCAGATTCAGTTCTATCCAACTCGGAATTGTACTGTTTTGTTTGGTTAACTATAGTGTAGCAGGGAAGGCACTATAGGGGTACAATTTAGGTGAAGGTTGGATGTTGTTTGTCTGTATCTGCATGCTACAAGGCCAGGGGAAACCAGCGGAACCAGCATTTGGCTGGTTGGGCAAAGACAAAACAGGTTCTGTTTTTAGAACCTGAACCTGGTTGTTGTTTTCCCAGGTTGGAAAAACAGAACCAGAGGTTGTTTACCAACCTACCACCTGCTATTTTGTCCAGCCAGGTTGGTTCTGTTGCTTGGAATTATTTGGGATCATCCCTGGTTGTTCCCAGGTTGATTCCCAAGGTCCTTGCTAGCTAGAACTATTTAATCCTTCTCTGTTTGTACCTGAATATAGTCAAATTGATTCATGCGAATTCCTTTCTCGCTGGAATTTCGTTTCTACGCGGTTCGTTGGCGGAATGCTACCCCAGTCAACGCTACTACGCTAGCACTCTAATGCTAGGCAAACACCGTCTGAGCCATAACTTCGTAATGGCAGAACTTTTCGCGAGGCAACTTGGCTCATTTCAAAGCTCTTGGAGCGAGCTTCGATATAGCGAATTCTCAGCTTAATCTGACCGACGGTCTGCACGGCACGCTGCGCGACGTTCAAGGTACTCTTGCTGTTTTGACTAAGTCCTTCTTGATCCCTCTCTCTACAAACTCGGACCCGAGGATAGGGGCTGGTCTTGTACCAGGCACCCAGGGACCCTTGGAGGTGACCCCGAGGAGAGGTTTTAAGTTTGATTAAGTCCTAATAGCTTGAGTTTATTAGGCCCTTACACCAACATCAACACGGTCCACGCCTTCGGACCGCATTCAACCTCCGGCAGCAGGTGCATGACGTGGTGACGCTGGTTCAGCTCCAAACTCTGCGACATCAAATAGTAGCCAGCCGAGGAGCGCTCGTCCCAATCTTCCTGCAGCGTGGGGTCACTCGGTCTAGGCTCCTCCCCAATCATTAGTTTCAGCAAACCGATCTGACGGAAATATAATTGCATTTTCCAGGCCCAATCATCATAGCCCTCACCATTGAACTTCTCGACGGTGAAATTCTTCAGCACCTCCTTGACAAGCGAGCCCTGGTTTGTTCGCGCTCCCCTTGGCGCTGAAAGACCAGAATCTTGGCTGCCGCTACGATCTTGGGCTGAAGATTCACCAGCTCCCGCCGAGGTGTTGCCCGCCATAGCTACCTATAACGAGGATCACTATAACGCAGCTCTGATACCAGCTTGTTGGTGTAAGGGCCTAATAAACTCAAGCTATTAGGACTTAATCAAACTTAAAACCTCTCCTCGGGGTCACCTCCAAGGGTCCCTGGGTGCCTGGTACAAGACCAGCCCCTATCCTCGGGTCCGAGTTTGTAGAGAGAGGGATCAAGAAGGACTTAGTCAAAACAGCAAGAGTACCTTGAACGTCGCGCAGCGTGCCGTGCAGACCGTCGGTCGGATTAAGCTGAGAATTCGCTATATCAAAGCTCGCTCCAAGAGCTTTAAAATGAGCCAAGTTGCCTCGCGAAAAGTTCTGCCATTACTAAGTTATGGCTCGGACAGCGTTTGCCTAGCGTTGGAGTGCTAGCATACTAGCGTTGACTCGGGTAGCATTCCGCCGTCGAATAGCGCAGAAACGAAATTCCAGCGAGGAAGGAATTCGCTTGAATCAATTTGACTATATTCAGGTACAAACAGAGAAGGATTAAATAGTTCTAGCTAGCAAGGACCTTGGGAATCAACCTGGGAACAACCAGGGATGATCCCAAATAATTCCAAGCAACAGAACCAACCTGGCTGGACAAAATAGCAGGTGGTAGGTTGGTAAACAACCTCTGGTTTTGTTTTTCCAACCTGGGAAAACAACAACCAGGTTCAGGTTCTAAAAACAGAACCTGTTTTGTCTTTGCCTAACCAGCCAAATGCTGGTTCCGCTGGTTTCCCCTGGCCTTGTAGCATGCAGATACAGACAAACAACATCCAACCTTCACCTAAATTGTACCCCTATAGTGCCTTCCCTGCTACACTATAGTTAACCAAACAAAACAGTACAATTTCGAGTTGGATAGAACTGAATCTGCGCAATCAACTCAACCGAACTGCAAAGCTTCCATCTTGGGTTCCTTTGCGAGCTCGTCCTTTCTGCTTGCACTGTTCATAGCGCGTACAATGTTGTGCCGAAGCGCACATTGCGCGAGTACCTGCAAATGCATCAAGCGAAAAATGCGAAAGCAAACAAACACACGAACACACCATTCACACGCAAATGCATTCGCACACGCATACTCGTACAAACAGACGGCAGGATGTCGTGCAATGTGCATTTGCACCCAACAGGCGGCATGCATGCGTAGTAGGACAGGAAGTCCGGCGGCCTCCGAGCCCGGCCTGAACACTGTGGTCCTGGCGGAACCTCCACCACGTCGTTGTCGATGGATTCCTCGGCGTCCGACAGCTCCCCTCGTGTTCCACCAGCGTTGCTGCCCTCGTCGTGCTGCTGCACCACGGTCGGTGACCCCGTCGCCTCCTCCTTTGTCGTCGGCTCCCCTGCCAACAGCCCGAGCGCCAACTGCCCTGTTGGCTGCTGCACGGCCGAGGCCTCTTTTGCCGGCTTCACCCAAGTCGGCTGCACCTCCTCGGCCTGAATCTCCCCTGTTTGCGTCGACGTCACTCGCACGCCGACTTCTGAGACGTCACGTTGGCCACCAGCGATGCTCTTGGCCGGCGCTACGGGCGATGCCTCACCGCTCTCCTCATCGCCGGAGGCCGACATTGGAGGCAGCTTATGCAGGTCGGCGACGAGCAGGGGAAGGAAAGGGAGGGCGGACAACCTCGGCAACCTCAGCAGCAAGCTCACTGAACTCGGCGAGCAGAGGGAGCGTCGCTGTCGAGGTGTCCGATGGCGGGTTGTTCTGCGTGCGCCCCGACGCCGGCCCATGCTCCGTCTTCCACACATCCAGTGACATGGTTTCGTAGAACACCACGTCCGACGTGGTGACCACCCTGTTGTCGGTGAGGTCGAGGAGCTCCCAGCCCTTGCTCTCATCCGACACGCCGAGATGAAGGCCTCATCTGGCGCTTCGGCTTCGGCTTCGGGGACCAGGTACTGCGCCATGCAGCCCTACACGCGTGCCTGCGACAAGTCGGGTTTCTTCTCGGTCAGCGGCTGGTACGGCGTCATCCCCGGCGGCAGCGCGGACCTCTCAAGGCTGTTGCAGACCCAGACGGCCTGTCGGCTGTTGCCCGCACCGACTCCACCACCGTCCTCATCTTTCGCTCCGCCGTGCCGTTCTGTTGCAGGTGTAGGGGCAAGTAAGGTCGTGGACGATCCCCTTGCCGTCCACGAAGGCGGTGAACTCCTTCCCGAGGAACTCCCCTCCTCGGTCAGATCGCAGCATCAGCACCGACTTCGTGGTCTGACGCTCAACCGTCACCAGCCACTTCTCAATCTCCCACAGCACGTCCAACTTTTTGGCGACCGGCTGCACCCACACGTAGCAGGTCTTGTAGTCCTTGAGCAGCAAGAAGTACAGGCTGCCATATTTGGCAGCCACCTGGAATGGCCTGCACAGATCGATGTGCACGACAGTCAGGGCATCCTCAGCATCCGAGCCTTGGTCTGGGAAGGTGTGCCGTGCTTGCTTCCAGCCGACGCACGAGACACACGGTGATGTCCAGGCCGGTGGCGACCTCGTGCTTCGCGAAGCTTGTGATGGTGTTGAAGCTGAGACATGCGCCAACCTCGAGTGCCACCGGGCCGGCGTCGACTTGGTCGCCGAGACTATCGCCCGCACAGCCACCACCTCTATTGTGGTCGACGTCGAATGCGCCGAGCAGGGACGAAGGCCGGTGCAAAGCACCCGTCCGGTGTAAGTCGCCTGGCCGAGCACGTCCCTCGTCGTCAAGACGAGCAGCATCCCGTCGCCGTCGTCCTGCAGCTTCACCCCGTTCTTGCAGTGGCGGAGGTGAAGCAGAACCTGCATACACCGCACACCAACGTCATGCGCACACGGCAATCAAACCTCACATCATCCGACACGCACATCCTCTCAACCGCGCAATCAGCCCACTTATGTACAAGCACAATCTCCGCCGTCCGTGCGGCCCGCCTCGCACTAACCCTTGCCAACCCTCCCACGGTCACTTCTGCTTCACGTGAAATTCCATCCTAGCTGCCATCACTGTACACGCGAGGCGTCTGCATTTCTCCCCCACCAGGGAACTCCCCCTCCTGTTGTATTTCTCCAGCTGTCACCCTCGAAAGTCCATTGCGGCCTCATTACACACTGCTCCGATACTCTGCCTTGTACTGTATACGCTTACACTCCATGACATTCATTACAGAAGCTCATTTCCTTCTTGCTGCGTATGATAGCTGTCGGATGCCATAGGCCTCTACCTCCTCTGCTTTCCCGTTTCTTAGAGCAAGGTGGGGTCTGCCTCTCTTCTACTCCCTCCTCCTCAAGTTCCCCTTCTTCACTCACTTACTTCCTTCCTCAGCCTACCTTCTCTGCTTCTGTGCCTCCTTCCCTCTGCCCTTGCTCTTCCAGCTGTGCTACCCACTTGCCCCCTTCCGGGACCTGCTTTGCTCCTGCTGCTGGTCCTTAGGAATCCCCTTCATCTTACTCCCTGTCACCCGCGCCACATTGGTCACGTGATCCTCACATTGCTTGCCCTCCTCTGACTCGAGTACGAGCACCCCCATGTCCAAGGTGTCCTTCTTAGCTTTCCGGATGTACACTTCCGTGCCATTCTCCACGGGCTTGCCGGTCCCCTTTCCGTTCTGTAGCAGCCTCTGCTGATACCGCTTTCCATCCCGTAGCTGCGCTGTATGCAAATTCTCGAGTGCTGCTAGCATAATCTTCTTTAGGTACCTGGCTCGGCAATCTGCCAGCGCTGCCCACTTCTCATGGGTTCCCGCCCTCACGATTCCGCTCAGCACCTTTGGGGCATTCACAGGCAGCATGGGCTCCTTCCCATACAACAAGTAGTACGGTGAGGAGTCTCTGAGTGCCGCTTGCTTGCAGAATCGGTACCCTGCAGCAACCCAATTCAGCTCCTGATCCCAATCCCTCTTATGCTCCTCTCCGTAGGCACGCAGCCCCTTCTTAATCGTCTGCACCATCCGCTCGGTCAGCCCGTTCGCTTGCGGGTGGTACCTCGACGTCCGTCGGTGCGTGATCCCCACCTTCTTCAGCAACTGATCGAACGCTCCCCTGAACTCGGTTCCCTGGTCCGTCAGTACTTCTCCGCATGCTCCGAAGCGTGTAAGCACCTGATCGGTAAATGCCTCGGCGATCAGCTCAGCGCTCATGCTGCTGAGCGTCCTCAGTTCCACCCACTTGGAGACGTGCTCTATCATTACCAGCACGTATCGTTTATTCTTGCGACTCAGCGGCAGCTCCTCTGCCAGGTTGAGTGACCATCGATACCCCAGCCCGCGGATGGGAAGCGACTGTAACCCTGCTGCTCCCTTTCCAGAGTTGCCTTGTTTCCGCTGCACAGTTCGCAGTCTGCCACGACCTCCTTCACATCCCTCTGTAACCCCGCCCACCACCATCCTGTGGTCAGCAGTTGCGCTGTCCGCACATGGCCATAGTGTCCCAGTTGGGGGTGCACCTTTTGTATGAGGGCCCTCTGTAGCTCTGGTGTCGGCACTAGCTTCCAGCCGTCCTTGGACTGCACCTGCAGCAGCTGCTGATACCACCGATAGTGCCGACCCCGCGCCCTTACCCCCTCTCCCACGTCCTCCTCTGCCTCGGTCTCCCCTTTCACCCATCGCAGCACTGCCGCGTCCTCCCAGACATCCTCGGGTCCCTTCCCTCGGCCCTCTGCTTCCTCCGTTGTTTGTATTCCGCTGGCCAGCGCCACTAGGCACGCTGCTTGAGAGCCTCTTTCTAGTGGGGGTGGGTTCCTCGACAGCCCATCCACGTGCTGGAGAGTTTTCCCCGGGCGATGTCGTATCTTAAACTCGTACTCCTACAACCGCATCACCCACCTCGCGTTTCCTCCTGTCAGGGTTTGGTTCGTCATTAGCCGCGTTAAGGGCTGGTGATCGGTTACCAGAGTGAACGGGCTGCCCTACAGGTACATACGAAAGTGTTCTATTGCCCATACCGCCGCCATTCCTTCGCCTTCGTATGAGCTGCAGTTGGCTTCGATTGGGCTGCAACTCCTGCTGGCGAATGCCACGACCCTCTCTCCCCGCTCCGTCTCTTGGCACAGCACTGCTCCCATGCCTAAGCTGCTCCAATCCAAGTATAGTACGAATGGCTTGTCTCTCTCTAGCAAGATGAGCACCAGCCCCGTCTTCACTGCCCCCAGCAGGTCTTTCAGCGCAGCGTCTTCTTGCTCGCCCCATTTCCACGTTATGGTCTCCTTCAGGAGCTGGTTCAGCGCGCTTGCTCGCTTGTTGAAGTTGGGCACGAATTTTGTGCAATAGTTCGGGAATCCCAGGATCGCGCGTAGCATCTGTTGGCACCGCTACCTTATCCAGAACCGCCACCTTCGCCTCTTGGACTGAGAGTGTTTCGTCCGACACTTCGAACCCCAGATACTTCACCGTGCATTCTCCGAACTTGCACTTGCCTGGGTGGCACGTCAGACCCGCGTTTATGATTGTCCCCAGGACCCGCTCCACATCTGCCACGTGTGACGTGCTGTCTCTGCTGAAGATAACTACATCATCGATGTAGTAGGCAGCGCAGTCGATGTCCCCTAGCACGATGTCCATCACTTGCTGAAAGAAGGCCGAGGAGTTGCACATTCCGAACGGCATTCCATTCCACTCCCAGAGCCCATCGACGCCGTGGAATGCGGTCTTGGCGCGGTCCTCCTCCCTAATCTGGATCTGATTGAAGCCTTGCCTAAGATCCAGCGTGGTAAACACCATGGCTCTAACCAGCTTGTCGAATATGTCCTGTCAAACATTGTATGTTTATATTGTGTAGGCTATAGTGGGTTTAGCCTTAGAGGGTACACAAACTTAGGGTTTCCTACTTGTACCCAACTTCCTGCTAGTTCATTCATTCTCGTTCTATTCTAAGATTCTAACATGGTATCACGAGCCTAGGTTGCTACCTAGGACCGCTTTCTACAATGGGCCCACTATTCCGCTAGAAGCGCCCTCGTGCGCCCTACCCTACGTGCGCCCTCGTGCGCCTTTCTCTGCTAGTGCGCCTTCGTGCGCCCTCGTGCGCCCTCGTACGTCCTCGTGCGCCTTCGTGCGCCCTCGTACGCCCTCGTACGCCCTCGTGCGCCCTCGTGCGCCCTCGAGCCACCCCTGCAGGTCCGTTAGGCCCCCGAGCCGTCCCTGCAGACCCGTCAGGCCCGCGCGCAGCCTCTGCCCGACCGCGCGCCGCCTCTGCAGGCTCTCGCCGCCCACCGCGTCACCCTGTCCGCGGCGTCGTCGCCTGCCCGCGACGCAGCCCCTGCCCGCGGCGTCGTCGCCTGCCCGCGACGCAGCCCCTGCCCGCGGCGTCGTCGCCTGCCCGCGGCGTCGTCGCCTGCCCGCGGCGTCGTCGCCTGCCCGCGACGCAGCCCCTGCCCGCGGCGTCGTCGCCTGCCCGCGGCGTCGTCGCCTGCCCGCGGCGTCGCCACCTGCCCGCCGCGTCGCCCTGCCCGCGGCGTCGCCACCTGCCCGCCGCGTCGCCCTGCCCGCGGCGTCGCCACCTGCCCGTGGAGCCGCCCCTGGAGCCGCCCGCCACTGCAGTAGCAGCCCCTGGAGCCGCCCGCCACTACAGCAGCCGCCCCTGGAGCCGCCCGCCACTGCAGCAGCAGCCCCTGGAGCCGCTCGCCACTGCAGCAGCCGCCCCTGGAGCCGCCCGCCACTGCAGCAGCCGCCCCTGGAGCCGCCCGCCACTGCAGCAGCCGCCCCTGGAGCAGCCCGCACCTGCAGCAGCCGCCCCTGGAGCAGCCTGCACCTGCAGCAGCCGCCCCTGGAGCAGCCCGCACCTGCAGCAGCCGCCCCAGGCACCTGGAGCAGCTGCCGTCGCGGCCCGGCCTCGCCCTGCAGCAGCTGCCGCGGAGCTCCCTGCTGCGGCCCGGCCCCGCCCTGCAGTTGTAGCGGCCCCGCGGTCGCCACCGTCTTGCGCCTGCCGCGCCGACCACTGGTGAGCATTGCCCTGCCAGCACTGCTACTGCTGCTACTGCCTTTTCTACTCCCACTGCTACTGCTCCTGCTGTTACTGCTGTTACTGCCGCTACTGCTGCTACTGCTGCTCCTGGCGAGGCCAGATGCAGCTCCAGGGCCGTGCGCGTGAGTCCCTCACGCCCCAGCAGCTTCGTGAGTGGTACGCTAGTTGGGGCTGTCGGGGTGGCCGTAGTGGTAGTCGCTCTGGAGTGGGTCGGTCGGGAGCTTCTGGTAGTGGACAGGTGCAGCTGCCGTGTTCTCTTTCGCCCCAGCAGCTTCGTGCGTGGTACGCCAGTTGGGGCTGTCGGGGTGGCCGTAGTGGTAGTCGCTCTGGAGTGGGTCGGTCGGGAGCTTCTGGTAGTGGACAGGTGCAGCTGCCGTGTCCTCTTTCACCCCAGCAGCTTCGTGAGTGGTACGCCAGTTGGGGCTGTCGGGGTGGCCGTAGTGGTAGTCGCTCTGGAGTGGGTCGGTCGGGAGCTTCTGGTGATGGACAGGTGCAGCTGCCGTGTCCTGTGAGTGAGGCTGCCGCTCTAGGTGCTAGTGCGGCTGCTACCCCAGGTACTGGTGAGGCTGCTGCTCTAGGTGCTAGTGAGTCTGCGCCCCCTGGTACTGAGTCGACTGAGGCACTGCACACCTTCACTCTGGACTCAGGTGCTTCTCGCTGTTTCTTTCGTGACCGCACTGCCCTTGAGCCGCTTGCTCGGCCAGTTGCTGTCTCCCTCGCTGACCCCTCTGGGGGTCCGGTCATTGCGACCTCCTCCACTGTCCTTCCTTGTCCTGCGGTCCCGTCGGGCACACTGTCAGGTCTCCACCTCCCCTCGTTCTCTACGAACTTGGTGGCAGGTTGTGCGCTCCAGGACGGAGGTGTTCACCAGTTCACCCCTGCCTACGAGCGCGTGACACACTGCACGTGTGCTCGGACGGGCCGTCACCTGGCTACCTTCACTCGGCAGCCGAGGTCGGACCTGTACACACTGACCACTGAGTCCCCTCAGGTAGCTGCGTCTGCGTCTGCGTCTGCGTCAGGTCAGCTGTCGGCCCCCTGCTCGTGTCGCTCTCTGGCGCATGAGACCGTCCTCTGGCACCACCGACTTGGCCACCCATCTGTGCAGCGCCTTCGTGCCATGCACTCCCGGTACCTTGTCTCTGGTCTTCCCAGGGTCCTCCCTCCCCTCCCACCCTCGCCTGCTCCTCCCTGTCTTCCCTGTGTCGAGGGGCGGCAGCGCGCCGCTCCTCACTCCTCCTCGTTTCCCCCGACGACTGCCGGAGACCTCGCCCACACTGCTGTGGACGGGGGAGGTTGGCGATGCGTCGCGTTTCCGGGTTTGGGGATCTCGAGCTTTTGTCCGCGATACGTCCGCGGACAAGCTCTCCTCCCGCGCTGTTCCCTGTGTCTTCCTTGGCTTTGTCCCTGACGCGTCTGGTTGGCAGTTTTACCACCCCACCTCGCGCCGGGTCCTGCCCTCTCAGGACGTCACTTTTGACGAGTCCGTCCCCTACTACCGCCTCTTCCCCTACCGCACTGCCCCGCTCCCCCCCCCGCCTCTCTTCCTCGCGCCAGGTGCTGCTGTCGTGAACAGACCCCCTCCCCCCTCAGGGTGCCGCTCCCTCAGGTGTGTCCCAGGTAGACCCGGTTGAGCCTGTTGAGGTAGCTGTTGACTCTCGTCCTGCTGCGGGTGCGGAGCCTGGGGGTGCGGAGCCTGAGGGTGCGGAGCCTGGGGGTGCGGAGCCTGGGGGTGCTGAGCCTGGGGGTGCGGAGGCTGCGGGTGCGGAGCCTGGGGGTGCGGAGTCTGGGGGTGCTGAGCCTGGGAGTGCTGAGCCTGGGGGTGCTGCGCCTGGGGGTGCTGAGCCTGGGGGTGCTGAGCCGCGGAGTCCGGAGTCTTGGGGTGCTGCGTCTGGGGGTGCTGAGCCTGGGAGTCCTACACCTGGAGGAGCTCTCTCCTCGGAGCAGCTGCGTGAGTGGTACTCACAGTACTGCAGCCTCCGGAGAGGTGCCTCTGGAGCCAGGAGTACTACTGGGACTGGTGCTGGTGCCTCCCCTCCTCAGCGGGAGCTGCCCTCTCTTGAGCGGATCCGTGAGTGGTACGAGCGGCGCTGCACTCTCCGGAGTGGCGCGCCTCGTGTCGCGGACCCTGGTGCTGGAGGTGCTGGAGGTGCTGCTGCTGGTGTTGGAGGCTCTACTGGTGCTGTTGGAGCTGCGGACCCTGGCGTTGGAGCTGCTGCTGGTGCTGCGGACCCTGGAGTTGGAGCTGCTGCTAGTCCTGAGGACCCTGGTGCTGGAGCTCCTGCTGGTGCTGCGGACCCTGGAGTTGGAGCCGCTGCTGGTGCTGCGGACCCTGGAGTTGGAGCTGCTGCTGGTGCTGCGGACCCTGACGTTGGAGCTGCTGCTGGTGCTGCGGACCCTGGAGTTGGGGCTACTTCTGGTGCTGAGGACCCTGGAGCTGGCGCTGCTGGAGCTGCTGCGGGTGCTGGTGGTGTCTCTACTGGTTCTGGAGTCGCTGCGCGGCCCCGGCCGTACTTCGTTCCGCTCCTTCAGCAGGTTCTTGGTCAGCCTCCTCCTCCTTGTCCTGCTCCCTCCTTAGAGTGTCCTCCGCCTGTCCAGTCACCGTCACAGTTACCGCCTGCCTCGCCGCTCCCTGGTCCTTCTCCTTACACTGGTCCCACAGGAGGTCTTACGGAGCGTCGTGAGCCTGAGTCTCGTCCTGTGTCGCCTGCGTCTCGCTCTACGTCGCCTGTTCGTGCTGCTCGCACTGGTCGTCGTGTCCCGCGTGAGCGTCCTCCTCCTGTCCCTGGCACTCACTACATGACTCTGCGTCCCTCCACTGCTCCTCAGCGTGTCCCTCTACCGTCTCCTCCTGCGTCCTCTCTTCCTACTCTTGCTGACCCGGAGTCTGACTCCCTTCGTGCTGCCCGTCCTACTGTCACGTGTCTCCTCGCTACTGTTGTAAACAACAAACAGTTTTATACCAAGCTAACTCATTCTACTCCTACCTTGATCTAGGTGTTTCAAATTCCCACCTCGTCGCGCGAGCAGATTTTCAGATTCCCTCCCATTCCCTTCGTGCCCTGGCGCACACTCGATGCGTCGCCGAAATATTTCGTCTTTCGCGCGCGAATAATGTTGATGGTTCCGCTCCGATAATTTCACTTCGCGCCAATCTCGAACGGTTGCGATGAAGTCCGTTCAAAACCTGATTGAGCCGAAATGTCGGTGGCGATCAGCATTGCTTTCGATCGCTCAACTGCTGCTCGCCACGGCCCCTCGTTCCGAACTTACTTTTGATCCGAGCTGTCAGTGCTGCTAAAAATCGTGAGCAACCGAACTTACTCGAAATCTCGCTGATCTCCCCACCGGCGCTGGAAAACGATTCGCGAGCATATGACGCTCGCGTTACTGAGCAAGCTAATGAACACGCTAACGAACACGCTAACGAACACGCTAACGAACACGCTTATTAACACGCTAACAAACGCGCTAACGAACGAAGACCAATCTCACTCGTCGAACAGTGGCAATACGAGCGGCTGTTCGCTCGAACTCATGAGCAACTGCCATTTCAAACGGCAGCCTATCAGAACCTCCAAAATCGCTCGCTCAAAACCAAAAACTCAAACTCGCTCGTTCAACACTACCAACCGCTCCCATTGGTCGAAGCTTACAATCTCTTGAGCGCTCGATAATAAACGACTCGCCCCACAGCTTCAGCCGCTTGATACACACCTCCATGATAAAATCGGCTGATTGAATTACAGAAAATTATTTCTGTAATCAACAAAAACTCCCCCTCAATCTGGCGATTTTACTCCACGCACACTCTGTTACTGACTTGTCCGTTTTCCCAACCTGTTAGTAACTCATGAACTGTCGTGTCTGTCACTCACTGCTTTCCGCACAAGCTTCTCGATTTTCCTTCACTGTCGACCCGATAATCATTGCTGCTTCACCGATCCCTGACTTCCCTCCTTTAGCAAGTCAGCTTCTGCTAATAGATAACCCCGTTCAGCTTCATCCCACGTTGAGCATCTCCGAAACTTCCCGTTGTTGCTGTCACACCTTGTGGTGCATCACTTTCACTTGACTCAAGCTTAGCAGTATTACTGCTTCCCTCGTTCCTCCTTCGTCCGCGTTGCATGTGCATCAATACCTCCCACGATTTCTTGCACCCACTGAACCAGCTCCTTGAACACAGTGATCAATGTCGATGCATCCTGGTTCCCCACGGCTTCACTCGTGCCAATCGCCTTTCTTGGGTCAACCTTCCCACGGACAGTTTCTTCTTGCCTTAGACGACTGTGGATACGCTCCTTGAGAACGATTCCACTCGGCTTCAGCTTGTCCTTAGAAAATTCTAGACCCTTACTACATGTGGTTGTCTTGAGCAGTCCATTGTTCTTGCCAAGACCAGACCTGTCGGCAGTTTTCACCCCAGCGTTATCTTGTTTCTGGCTCCTTTCCACTTGACCCGCACAAGCAGCTTCACTTGCCTGCTTGCCCAGACCCTGTTGGGTGCAAATGCACATTGCACGACATCCTGCCGTCTGTTTGTACGAGTATGCGTGTGCGAATGCATTTGCGTGTGAATGGTGTGTTCGTGTGTTTGTTTGCTTTCGCATTTTTCGCTTGATGCATTTGCAGGTACTCGCGCAATGTGCGCTTCGGCACAACATTGTACTCGCTATGAACAGTGCAAGCAGAAAGGACGAGCTCGCAAAGGAACCCAAGATGGAAGCTTTGCAGTTCGGTTGAGTTGATTGCGCAGATTCAGTTCTATCCAACTCGAAATTGTACTGTTTTGTTTGGTTAACTATAGTGTAGCAGGGAAGGCACTATAGGGGTACAATTTAGGTGAAGGTTGGATGTTGTTTGTCTGTATCTGCATGCTACAAGGCCAGGGGAAACCAGCGGAACCAGCATTTGGCTGGTTGGGCAAAGACAACACAGGTTCTGTTTTTAGAACCTGAACCTGGTTGTTGTTTTCCCAGGTTGGAAAAACAGAACCAGAGGTTGTTTACCAACCTACCACCTGCTATTTTGTCCAGCCAGGTTGGTTCTGTTGCTTGGAATTATTTGGGATCATCCCTGGTTGTTCCCAGGTTGATTCCCAAGGTCCTTGCTAGCTAGAACTATTTAATCCTTCTCTGTTTGTACCTGAATATAGTAAAATTGATTCATGCGAATTCCTTCCTCGCTGGAATTTCGTTTCTACGCGGTTCGTTGGCGGAATGCTACCCGAGTCAACGCTAGTACGCTAGCACTCTAATGCTAGGCAAACATCGTCTGAGCCATAACTTCGTAATGGCAGAACTTTTCGCGAGGCAACTTGGCTCATTTTAAAGCTCTTGGAGCGAGCTTTGATATAGCGAATTCTCAGCTTAATCCGATCGACGGTCTGCACGGCACGCTGCGCGACGTTCAAGGTACTCTTGCTGTTTTGACTAAGTCCTTCTTGATCCCTCTCTCTACAAACTCGGACCCGAGGATAGGGGCTGGTCTTGTACCAGGCACCCAGGGACCCTTGGAGGTGACCCCGAGGAGAGGTTTTTGTTGGTGTAAGGGCCTAATAAACTCAAGCTATTAGGACTTAATCAAACTTAAAACCTCTCCTCGGGGTCACCTCCAAGGGTTCCTGGGTGCCTGGTACAAGACCAGCCCCTATCCTCGGGTCCGAGTTTGTAGAGAGAGGAATCAAGAAGGACTTAGTCAAAACAGCAAGAGTACCTTGAACGTCGCGCAGCGTGCCGTGCAGACCGTCGATCGGATTAAGCTGAGAATTCGCTATATCGAAGCTCGCTCCAAGAGCTTTAAAATGAGCCAAGTTGCTTCGCGAAAAGTTCTGCCATTACGAAGTTATGGCTCAGACGGTGTTTGCCTAGCATTAGAGTGCTAGCGTACTAGCGTTGACTCGGGTAGCATTCCGCCAACGAACCGCGTAGAAACGAAATTCCAGCGAGGAAGGAATTCACATGAATCAATTTGACTATATTCAGGTACAAACAGAGAAGGATTAAATAGTTCTAGCTAGCAAGGACCTTGGGAATCAACCTGGGAACAACCAGGGATGATCCCAAATAATTCCAAGCAACAGAACCAACCTGGCTGGACAAAATAGCAGGTGGTAGGTTGGTAAACAACCTCTGGTTCTGTTTTTCCAACCTGGGAAAACAACAACCAGGTTCAGGTTCTAAAAACAGAACCTGTTTTGTCTTTGCCCAACCAGCCAAATGCTGGTTCCGCTGGTTTCCCCTGGCCTTGTAGCATGCAGATACAGACAAACAACATCCAACCTTCACCTAAATTGTACCCCTATAGTGCCTTCCCTGCTACACTATAGTTAACCAAACAAAACAGTACAGTTCCGAGTTGGATAGAACTGAATCTGCGCAATCAACTCAACCGAACTGCAAAGCTTCCATCTTGGGTTCCTTTGCGAGCTCGTCCTTCCTGCTTGCACTGTTCATAGCGCATACAATGTTGTGCCAAAGCGCACATTGCGCGAGTACCTGCAAATGCATCAAGCGAAAAATGCGAAAGCAAACAAACACACGAACACATCATTCACACGCAAATGCATTCGCACACGCATACTCGTACAAACAGACGGCAGGATGTCGTGCAATGTGCATTTGCACCCAACACACTCCCCCTCAGCCTGCCGGCTGCATCCCCGTCATTCCATGCTAGTTCATGCTCATTCCACTCATGCGCACACAACGCCAATGAGGCTCATCCGCAAGCCTCTTGGTGAGAAAGTCTGCTGGCTGCTGGTGAGTCTTGATGTAGATCGGATGCACCGTCCCCCTCTTCACCTCCTTACGCAGCCAGTGCCACTTGATACGCATGTGCTTGTTCAGCCCATGAAGCACAGCGTTTCTGGCCATCCCAAGAGCCCCCTTGCTATCACAAAACAGCGGCGTAGCAACTTTCTGCTCCTGGCCAATCTCCTCTAACAGCCTCCTCAGCCAAATCACCTCCTTCACCCCATGGAACATCGCCATGTACTCTGATTCTACGGAAGAGAGTGCCGTCTCCGTCTGCTTCTTGGACCTCCAACTAACAGGTCCTCCCCCAACTAAGCAGATATATCCTCCCACAGATGAGGAATCCTCCTTCTCAGAAGCCCACGTAGCATCGGTAAAGCAAGTGAGAAATAGCTTGCCTTCTCCAAGCCTCTCCCCCTTCTCTTTCAGCACCTCCACCCCTTTCTGCTTCACCTGTGCAGATGCGGAGTATTGAACTCCAATGCTTGGGTGAGAGTTCAGGTACTTCACCACACGCTCAGCTGCATCCACCTGCTCCTCTGATGGATTCTGCACCACCCTAGCCAGCTGCCCAACCGAGAAAGAGATGTCGGGCCTCGTGTGAACTGCTGCGTACAAGAGGCTGCCCACCAAGGACTGAAATTGCTGCTGCTCTTCAGCTTCAACCCCTTCATCCTCTGCAGCCTTCACAAGCTTGAATTCTGCTGGCAGGGGAGTTGCAACCTTGCGCTCATTCTCAATCCCATACTTTTCCCCCAGCTCCTTGATGAACTTCTCCTGGTGCAGCTTCAACCACCTGTGATCTGGATCCCTCTCCACGTGCATCCCGAGGTAGTACTTTACCTCCCCAAGGTTCTTGCACTTGAAGTTTTCCATCAGTTGCTGCTGCACTTTCTGAATCTCCTTCATGCTGCTGCTGAAGAGAAGAATGTCGTCCACGTAGACCAGAAACAGCACCAGCACCAGCTGCCCTTGAGAAAGAGGCTCTCATCACAGCTGCTGGTCCTGAATCCCATCTCCTCTAAAACAGCTGCCAACTTCTGGTACCAGCAGCGTGGCGCCTGCTTCAAGCTGTAGATGGACTTGTTGAGCTTGCACACCCTGCCCGTACCATCCTCATACCCAGGCGGCTGCGTCATGTACACATCCTCCTCTAAAATCCCATTCAGGAATGCCGTTGAAATATCCATCTGAATGATGAATTTCCCACTAACAGCTGCATCTGCCAACAAGACACGGAGG